CAAGTAGTAGTATGCGAAGAAGAAAGTCCTTTCGATGTGGAGGAGCAATTCTATGGAGATTTTCTCGAGGTCTTCCAGGGAAGAAGACGATGAAGAAGTTCTGAAATGGGCTGCCATTGAGAAACTTCCTACTTATGATCGTTTGAGAAAAGGTATATTGACCACCTCTCATGGTAGTATCCATGAAATCAGTGTAAGCAATCTTGGAATTCAAGAACGAAAAGATTTGCTTCACAAGTTGCTGAAAGTCCCCGAAGAGGATAATGAGTCCTTCTTGTTGAAGCTCAAGGAACGAATCACCAGGTTAGAGATTTTCTATCTTTTTTCGTTCCATTTACCAATTTTTTCTGTTTGGTTCTCGAGAAAAAAAACGAAAAAAAACAGAGGTTTGAAGAAAGAAGGTAAAGAAAGTTGCAATCACATCGCCACAAAAGGGGAAGGAAAGGAAAATGAAGATGAAACTTCTTTAGAATATAATGTACACATGTATGCTTGTGTGTGTGTGTATATATATTCAGCTAAAATTTCTGGGAAAGGAAACAGGGGGGCTCTGCTTTAGTTTTGTTGGCTTCTTCTTTTTCCTTCTTTCAAAACCTGTGTGTGTGTGTATAATGTAAGTGTTTATGTTTATCTTTTCCTGAGAATGATTTTTGAAATTCTTGGATTTGGCAGAGTTGGAATCGATTTTCCCACAATTGAAGTCCGATTTGAACATCTTAATGTGGAAGCAGAAGCCCATGTAGGAGCCAGAGCCTCACCTACATTCATTAATTTCATGATTAACATACTAGAGGTGATGAGTTCATTATTAGTGAGCTTCAGTTCTTTTTTCTTTATCCTTCATTATCTCACTCTGGTTTTCATCTTTTTTCTTTTTATTTTTGGTTTTATATAAAGGGATTCTTGAATTATATACACATTCTTCCAAGTAGAAAAAAGCAATGGACAATCCTCAAAGATGTCAGTGGAATAATCAAGCCATCCAGGTAATAAATCAAATTTCATTTGAAAAACATTCAGCTTCAAATCTAATTTCTGATTTTCTTTCACAGGATGACACTTCTTTTGGGTCCTCCAAGTTCTGGAAAAACAACCCTCTTGCTGGCTTTGGCTGGAAAACTACACTGTAATCTGAAGGTGATCATCCAGAAAATTAAACCCTGACTACATTATTTTTTTGTTTCATTTGATGAAATTTTGATTGAAGTGGTGGAAAATGATGTTTTAGTTTTGGGGTAGAGTGAGTTATAATGGTCATGACATGAAGGAATTTGTTCCCCAAAGAACTGCTGCCTACATTAGTCAACATGATGTTCATATTGGTGAAATGACTGTGAGAGAA